GCTATTTCATATTTGTGGATGCTAATTGTAAACGTGTTCTGCCTTTGGAACAGCATTATTGTTTTCATATGAAAAAAAATATTTTTCATCTTTTGCTCCCTGCTTTTTAAAAGCCTCATTGTTTTCTGAGATCGCAGAAGTAATTTTTAGTTTTATAAAGGTTATGGAAGGGTATTTAAAAAGTAAACTTGATTTTAAAAAATCATTTTGATTTTTTAAACACACATTAATTTGGAGAGTCCAGGAACAGAAACAACTCAGAATGTGATTAGATCTAAATAATGTGGGACAATAGTCTTTAAATAACTAACTAAAAATCATAGTGTTTCTCGAGTAGAAGGATCTTACCTGGGATATTGAAGTCCAACTCTATTCATTCCTAAAAATAAATCCAATTAGGGAAACTTTGGTAACAGTTGCTGTTTAGACTGTGAATAAATTTTCTTCTTCTGATGGTTTCTGATAGGTAGATTCGTTATGCATAAGTAAATGAGCTTTTGTTAAATTATATATAATAACCAGTTGTTAAATTGCCATTTCTATATAATAACTAAGGTAAAAGAGTGAATGTGCTTATTATTAGTTCAATTAAAGATTTGACCTATGTAGTGTGCCCAAATGTAATATGCCTAAATTTGATTGTTCAAAATAAAGATAAGACATTCTTTAAAAAAGGACTAAAGCAGAGATTAGAAGCAGGCATATTCATTTAATGGACTTATTGGAATATTCATTAAATAGTTCATATTCTTTCCCTGTCTTATACCCTCACACACACACACACACACACACACACACACGAGATGAGACACACTGAGAGCCCATAAGGGCTTCTGAAAATGTAGGAGATGAGTAGTACTCCTTGAGCCAGTCAGGTTTAAGGCTATGTGGAAAAGAGGCCCACAGGCCTTATGGCTTATTAAAAACAATCTTTAATCAGAGGGCATGGAATTACATGTCTTTAGTCAAGTCTCTGTGATTAGGTAGGGTTTGCTTAAAACTGACAAAATTGATATGTATCATCTTAAGGAACACTACTGTGAACCTGTTGCATTTATTATTTGATCATCAAAACAGTAGTGTTGGTCTAAAAAAAGTGCATTTCTCTCCTGCAGATAACAAAACAACAGCTATCCCTGCGCAAGCACTGTACTTAACACTTACTGCACATTTCTTCACTTAATGCTTAGGACGGTCTTGTGTAGTGATGATATTTCTGTTTTCATTTTACACTTTTACAGACTGAGGCCCAGAATGTTTGAAGAACTTGTCCAGGTTCACACAGCTAGCTTAGGAAATGGCAGAGCTGAGATTTGAATTTTCATGTATGTTTAACTCCACTGTTTGGTACCTAGCATTCATCCTTTTGCTTTTCCCAAACTTTGCATATTTTTTACAGTTTAAATATGATTTTGTGGATTTTACATGGTAAAATGAGTTTCAGATGTCCAATAAAACAAAACCCTTCAATATTAACTTTGATAACATAATCTACTTTTTTACCTTATAAACATGATAAAATTAGTATACTTTATTTCAATTCAGTAGCGTGCCATAGGAATCAATATGAACCTGGATCTAGTTTAATATTTTCTTAATAAAATTAGAGGCTAGTGATGGACAGAACCTTGCCTTCTTTGGTTAAATAAGCTTAATTGTTTACTCAAGAAGCTAAATGTCTTTCCCTAAGCCATAACTGCTTGTTGAGAAGAAGCATCAGAACCCAGATCTCAGTTTTGTTCATGAATCATTTATGGAGGCTTTTTGGTGAAACAGGCACTGTGGTGTATACACCATGTGGGCATTATTCTGTCTTTCACAGAGCTCTTAGATACTTGAAAGCAGATAAACTTAACAAGGTAAGTATGATGATGTAGGTATGCCTAGTGTGCCATAAAAACATAAAGAAAGGCCACTTATCTAGTAGGGGAGTTAGGAAGTCTTCTGGAGAACTTGTAGTCTGAAGTGTATTTTAAATAATGAATAAAGAGTTAAGGCCTTGTCAAAAAAAAAAAAATTGTGCATTGCTGTTTTTTACCCATGTTTGGGTTACTCTTCTTTCATTGAAGAAGTTTTGTACCAAGATCACTGTGTTCTTCTTTACCTGTACACCATTTCTGCTAGTGACCCTGATGTTATTGTGTATAATCAAACTGTGCTTTCAGTTTCTTAATAGCCTCACTACTTATTAGATTTTCTTTTACTTGCCTCATCTACCTCCTCCCATGGTTATACTCTACCGTTTTTCACTTTTCATTTTTCTTTTCATTTTGCCTGTTACCATTGACCTTTTCATTTTTCTGTCCTCTTCCATTTCCTCACTTTCTTTCTTAAATGATGTATACAACCCATTATAATTACTCCATGAGAAACATCTTTAATTCCATGGCCCTTAACTTGTTTTAACCATGAAAAAGCCATTTTTTCTCTCCTATCTCCCACACCACCCACAACTGAATATTGTGGGAGAAAATCATACATTCATTTTTACTAAGGTGTCTGACTTTAAATTCTTGATCATAATCTCAAATGGCTGTCAGCTCTAGAATGTTTGCTCTTCTGCTCTCCAAAGTGACTTATTTCAGAACTTCTGTTTTTGTTGTTGTTGGGTTTTTTTGTTTTTGTTTTTTGTTGTTGTTGTTGTTGAAAGAGAGTCATTCTGTCTCCCAGAGTGCAACAGTGCAATAGCAGTCTCAGCTAACTGCAACCTCTGGTTCCTGGGTTCAAGCGATTTTCCTGTTTCAGCCTCCCAAGTAGCTGGGATTACAGGCGCCTGCCACCTCATCCAGTCCAGCTAATTTTTGTGTTTTTTAGTAGAGATGGGGTTTCGCCATGTTGGCCAGGCTGGTCTTGAACTCCTGACCTCAGGTGATCCACCCACCTCAGTCTCCCAAAGTGCTGGGATTACAGGTGTGAGCCACCATGCCTGGCCCAGAACTTCTCTTTGACATACAAGTTAATACGTGCTCTTCTCTAATCCACTGAGCTCAACATCTTGCCTCATAAATTACTGAAAAGTAGAATTGGTCAGTTAAGAATTCCTCTCTTTACACCTTCAAATCTCCCAATACATCTGCTTCATATTTGATCTCTCAGACTATTCTTCTTTTATATTGGAAGTGTCACTTTTTCTATCAAGAGCGAATTCCTTCCCCTATACACTGGATCTTAACTCTTCTCACTTGTTCAAAGACTTTATTGTTTATATGTTTTCACTTAAATATCTTTACCTCCTCACCTCCTAGATGTCATAAGCCATCCATAGTTGAGCTTCTTCATCATAGTCTTCACCAAGCCCCAAACTGCTCTGGCAGCGCCGTCAATGACTTCCATGTTGTTTCTTCCAAGGGTTCTTTCTTCTTCTTTTTGTAACCTCTGAGCAAAGGTCAATCCTGTTCACCATTGTCGTTTTTCTGAAATACTTCTCTTGGCATCCGCGATGCCTGGTTTCCTTTTTGCTTCATTGACCACTTGTTTTTGCATATAGAGTATTCTCCACTTGCTTCATATCAAAATGTTGTAATATCAAAGGGCTCTCAGTTATGGATCCTTTTATCATTGACCCAAATTTATGTCAACAACTCTGACTTTAATCCCTTAACTCTAGACCCATAGGTCAGATTGTCTGCTTAATGGCTCTACTTGGATACCCTGGACACTCACCTCATAAGTTCCTCGTTTAGTCTTTGCCATTTCAGGAAATAGCCCCATTGACCTATTTCCTTATGCCAAAACCTGAAACTTCTTTCTTTCATACCTTAATGTAGTTTACCAGCAAATCCCACTAAATCTTTTTCCAAACATGTCTTTAAAGTTTCAGTCTTATAGTTTCACACAATCGCCTCCTACCTGTTCTCTGTGTATCTCTTCTTATCCCCTGTATTCATTCTTTATGTATAATCCAGAGCAGTGTTTGTGAAACAATCACATCATGTCACTTCAGTGCTTACTCTCTTCCAGTAGCTTCCCAACATATTTAAAATACAATCCAAATTTCTTACCAAGACCAGTAAAGCCTCAAATGAGATATGATGTCTTCCTGTCTAGAAATAATACCAAGCCTACTAATAATTGAGGAACTTTCCAATCATTTTCTCTGCCTTGAATGTTTTTCTTCCAAGTCTTTATTGACTTTCATTTAATCAGGTAGTTCAACTGCAGCCCTTCAAAAGGCTTTTCCATTCATAGCAGCTGATAAAATAGTGATGCTCATCCTCTACCAGTTACTTTCACATTACTTTGCTTTGTTTTGTTTTTCACAGCAGTTAGTTCTGTTCAAATTTATATTGTTTTAGTATCCTTTTCTTTCCTCTCCAAAAATGTAAGCTCTACCAGTACATGTGCTATGTCTGACTTACTTGTTGTCCTATGCGTAGTACATTAAAACAGTGCCTAGTATGTGGTAAGTTTTAAGTACAGTTGTTGAATGATTGGAATTCAGGGTGTATCATTTAAAAAATATATGCATGGTTATATTGTCATAGAAAAAGCATCTATGTTTTTTCTACTTCCTTTTCCTCCTGTTATCTCATAAAAGGTTAAAATAGATGTACTCTGCCAATCCTTTGATTTTAGAAAGAACAACTCCTATAATCCTATAAAAAATTTAACCAAGTACTTAAGTATGACCAAGCCCTCTAGATTTGTGTACATCTTAATTATTAGGTCATCTTTGCCACTTCTTTCTGGTTTGGGTTTCTTTTCTGGTTTCTGGGTTTCCAATACCATTCAATTATGAAACACCTGTAATTTTTAAGTAATTGAATTAAAAGTCGAGTTATGTGATTTCTGTTATCTGAATATGTTAATGGTGTTTAAAACATGTTTTTGGAAGTATGTGTTATGTTGATTTAGACCTAGTCTGAATGTGAGAATGGGTATGATTGGGTGATATATATTTATTTTCTTTTTAGCTGCAGGTTATACAGTATAATATCAAGTGAAAATGTTTATATTGCCAGAGCCCATTTACCTTCTCATAACTTCAGTTTATTTTTTAGGGTAGTATTCTAGAAGAACAATTACGAATGTATCTTCACTGTTGTTTGACGCTTTGTGATTTCTGGGAGCCAAACATTGCAATTGTTACCATTTTATGGGAATATTATAGTAAGAACCTGGTGAGTGAATAGAATATGATTTTGCTCCAGGAATTTTAATAATTTGTTCGTATTTGAGGAATTTCTTTATGGTTTAATTATGAATAGTTATGGATTTTTCTTAAAAAGTTAATTTTTTTTCAGAGTAGATTGGAGTAGCTCATGAATAGTTTTATCTTTAACATTGTCTGTAGAGCTTTGTCCTAAGGGAGACAGCATTTGTTATCCTTTTTCTCTTCAGAGCAAGTGTAAACAAAGTAGCTAAAATGTAGCAGATATTTATAAAATCTTCATTTATAAATGTTTCTAATAATAATTGGTTGCTCATGACACATTGAACAGGCACTGCTATCCTGAGTAAGAAACAATCCTGGCATTTGAGTAGCTTATAGGCTAGTGGGTGGGTATACATACATTGTGGGAAAAAGATTATAATTGTGGAACTCCAGAGGAGGGGGTGTCTAACCTGGTATCTGTATTTGTGGAAGACTTCATGAGGTCATAATTTTTGAACTTGGCTTTGGGAATGAGTAGAATTTCCTAAGTACAGAAGAAAAAGATCCAGGCAGAATGAACAGTATAGACAAATACATGGAGGTATGAAAAAGCGTGGTCTGTTCCTACCATGTCAACGGTTCTGAATGATAGGCCTGGGGTAACTGGAGAGACTGAAGATAGGAGACTAGAGAAGGCAGTCTGGGACTAGACTATGAAGGGTTGAAGATAATGTACAATTAATTCTGGTTTAGTCAGGAGACACTAAGTAGCAAGGATGTGACTTAGGTATGTTTTTGAGAAAGTTGGTTTTTTTTTTTTCTGTAAGTGGTGTAAATGAATTGGGTACAGACGAGTTAGTGGTTTATTGTAGTTGTATGAGCAAAAATACTATGGCTGAGAACTGAAATAGGGACAATGTATTTCGAAAGGAGAGGGTGAGTTTGGAAGATTAAAATTTTAAAGGTAGATTTAAAGGATTTATACCTTGTGTATAGAGAGAAGATTGAGAGGTGTATAGAACCTCTCGATCAAAGTAGAAAATGGTAATGGAAGATTTACAAGTAAATAACAAGTTTGGATTTGTGGATAATGGAGCTTACTATAAAATTAGAAAAATACCCTTCTCTGAAGCATAATTTTAGGCTAGTTGGAGAAATGACTGATTGTAATCCTGAGGCAGGATGTGTACAAGGTGAGTCTGGGGTGTCTTGTCATACCAGAAAGCAGGGAAGGTATCAAAGTAAGCTAGAGTCGTGTCAGAAGGACACAGGAGCCAACCTGAAGGAACATCCATTGCCCAGAGAATGGGAAAATTTGAGCATAAGAAAGAATAATGATTGCAATGAATTAAAACATATTAAATGTGTTTAAATCTCTGAATTTATGCTTCTTTGTAAAAAGTTATTCTGGAAAAAAAAAAAACAAAAAACAAAAAAAAAAAAAACACCTAATTCTGAAAACTGTAAAGAAAATACAAACTATATTTTAGAGTAATCATATTTCTGATGAACTAATTAAAACATGTTAGAATTAGAAGTCACCATTTTGTACCTTTAATGAAATAAGGCATCTGGGCAATGATCATCAATGCTACTAAAACATTAAGTTAAAGGCTGGTGGGACCACTAAAATAGGTGGACCAGGTTGATAATCTGACCAATCTTAACATCACAAAAAGCCAGAACTTATGTGCCTTTTTGCTAAATGCAATAGGAACTACTCAGTACTACTGATGAAAGATTCTTGCCAAAAAAGTCAACATGAATCGGATAAAACCTCTAGATATAGTGACCAACTTACAGAAAAGATAGGGGATGAAAGATTAAGTAACACTAGAGCCATACAAGCAGCTAAATTTAGAACATGGGAAATTTTATACAACAAATGACCTGATACTAAAAACAAGTGGTATAACAAAAACATTGGGAAACGTAAAGAATCAAAGAGCCAAAAGTGCTGTGCATATCGCTGAATCCAATGTGTGGATTTTGTTTGTATCCTAATTTGGACAAATCAACTGTTAAAAACACATTTTGGGGACAATCCAAAATTTGAACACCTCTTGATGCTCTGTTCTTTCATGGAATTTTTATTTTTAGGGCATCATGTTTATGTAGTTTTTGTGATGAAGATGAGTCAGACTTTTGATGAACCAAGTAACTGGGATTTGCAGCTTACCATTTTATTTACTAAGAGACTAATAATTATTTTCTACCTTTTTTCCCACCTTTTAGAATAGTTCCTTCAGTATTTCTTGGCTTCCTTTTAAAGGCCTTGCTAATACCATGAAGTCACCCTTGTCGATGCTTGAAATGGTGAAGACTTGCTGTTGCGATAAACAAGATCAGGATCTGTATAAATCTAGCAGTAGTTATACAATTTTTCTTTGCATTCTGGCAAAAGTTGTTAAGAAAGCAATGAAGAGCAATGGCCCTCATCCTTGGAAACAAGTCAAAGGAAGGTATATGCAGTATCTTTTGTCATGAATGTGCACTGATATCTTTGAATAAGTGTTACTCTTTGTATTTTGTTAAGTTTACTTGGGGCTAGAGTCTTAATTAGTTATAATGTTACTAGGTAATCCATTATATGCATTTGATTAAAAGTTATAGAAACAAATATCTTCAGGTTGCACATTGGTAGGTGATAGTTTCAACATATAAAACTTTTGTGTTCTTTGAGCCCAGCAGTTCACAAGCACTGGTTTTTGTTTGTTGTGTTTTTTTAATGAGAACTGACCAGAGTATAGTAGAACCAGATAACTAATGTTCTCATTTGGGAACTATGCTGTTTTCATTTCTGATAAAATAAACTTTGGTCACATTAGTCCATTGTTTTCTTTCTCTCTCTTTTGAGAGTTTTGCTTGCTCAATGAGTACACTTTTAAATTGTCTTTCTTTTTTCTACTGCCTTTGCCTGTATTAGCCCTTAGCCGCCTTTGTGCAGTACACCACCATTTACCACTTGCTCAGATTATTTGTTGAGACCTCTCAGGGAAGAGAATACTAGGTAGGGACTTCTCAAGAATCACTTAATGAAATTCCTGTTTGAGTCCCACAGTGAGTAATTCTTATAAGCGCATGGTGATATGGTTTGGATTTTTTATTTATTATATACTGTTTTAAATGTCAGCTTCTTTATTAAATCTTCAAGAATCACATGGCTCAAACAGTTTTTTTCTTTTGTTCTGTTTGACAGTTTGTTTTTGAATCTTAAGGAATTTTATGGAAGACATAATACTCAGAACTTTATGGCTGAAAAAAGTCATCGGAATTTATTCAATAACAATTCTGTTTATTAGACACATACTATATGTCAAACACTATAGTGGAGATAGTAGTAGATGATACAAAGATAATTAAACAGATCTTTACTTTTAAGAATTTGTCAGCTTTCAAGTAGTTACTTATAAACATTTAACTCTAATGAGCATTACTCATTTCTGTCCTGAATAAACCAGTTATAGAAGTTGCAAAACTTAAGGCCAGGTGTGGTGGTTCACACCTGCAATCCCAGCATTTTGGGAGGCTGAGGCGGGCGTATTACTTGAGATCAGGAGTTTGAGACCAGTTTAACCAACATGGTGAAACTCTGTCTCTACTAAAAAAAAGAAAAAAATAGCCAAGCGCGGTGGTGCGTGCCTGCAATCCCGGCTACTCAGGAGGCTGGGGCAAGAGAATCACTTAAAACTGGGAGGCGGAGACCGCAGTGAGCCAAAATTGTGCCACTGTACTCGAGCCTGGGCAACAGTGAGACTCTGTCTCAGAAAAAAACAAAACAAAACAAAACAAAACAGCTTAATTTGTAAGTAGGAATTCAGATGAATTGTTTTCAATTCTAATCCCTTAATTGATGAGAGAAAAGTATGTCAACTATTAACTATATTATTATCTAGTGTATTAACTATTGTGTCAACTATTGTATTAAATAGTATTGATGAGAGATTTTTATATGCCTAGTTCTGTGCAGGTGGCTAAAAATAATTTTTCTAACACCTTGCATTGTCTTAAGGTATAGGTAAAATAAGAGCGAGTCTTTGTGAGGGGTGCAGGGAGAGAGTTTAAGGATAATTGTTATGTAAAATTGTCCAGTTAAGATTTCTGTAAAAGCATATCACATTGTACTTAAAATATTATATATTCTTTCTTATTTACTAATAAAAATAAGAAAAGAAGGGTGATGGGGGACTTGAATAAAAGGAAAAGCCATATACTATATGAAAACATTTGTACTGTCTTTGGGGAAAGCCATTGAATCCTTTGATTCACTTACAGGTGATTTGCCTCATCATTGGGAAATTTCAAGGTAGGGCCATTATGTGAGTTTACTTTTTAAGTAAACAAAGTGACAAGGCAGCATCAAAATGAAGAATTAGCTTAAAATTTAATGAGATTGTCATGAGCATTGAAGCACATTTTAAGAGATACAAGTTTTTGTGAATGCAACAATTTTATTAAAGCATTTTTAATGTTTTACAGGATATATTCAAAATTCCATCAAAAAAGAATGGAAGAACTAACTGAAGTTGGTCTACAGAACTTTTTTAGCCTTTTTCTACTGTTAGCAGCTGTTGCAGAGGTAGAAGATGTTGCAAGTCATGTTTTAGACCTCCTGAATTTCCTCAAGCCTGCTTTTATAACGTCTCAGAGAGCCCTCATTTGGAAGGGTCACATGGCCTTCCTCTTGATGTATGCCCAGAAAAATGTGGACATTGGTGTTTTGGCTGAGAAGTTTTCATGTGCTTTCCGGGAGAAAGCAAAGGAATTCTTGGTGTCTAAGAATGAGGAAATGATACAGAGACAGACTCTCTGGACACTTCTTTCCATATACATTGATAGTGTTCAAGAAGTGTTTGAGACCAGCTATTGCTTGTATCCTTCCCATGAAAAACTGCTTAATGATGGATTTAGTATGCTTCTACGAGCATGCCGAGAATCTGAACTTAGGACAGTATTGAGCTTTCTACAAGCTGTTCTGGCCAGAATCAGGTATGGTTTTCAGTCGTATGCTAATTTATGATTTGTTTTATATAATCACTTACGTGAATTTTATATTAAAGTTATATGTATATACACATACACACATATATACAAATACACATGAAATCCAAATGTAGAGGAAGGATTTAGTTTTCTACTACATGGGCATAAATCACTATAGGTTGAATATATCTGTGTACTAAAATGCTTTTATATGAAATGCTTGGGACCAGAAGTGTTTTGGATTTTGGATTTGTTTAGATTTTGGAATATTTGCATATGCATAATGAGATATGAGATATTTTGAGGAGGGGACCCAAGTGTAAACATAAAATTCAGTTATGTTTCATATATACCTTATACACATAGGCTGAAGGTAATTTTATGTAACATTTTGAATAATTTTGTGCATGAAACAGTTTTGACTGCAACCCATCCCATGGGGCCAGATACAATTTTCCACTTGTAGTGTCATGTTGGCACTCAAAAAGTTTTGAATTTTGGAGCATTTTGGATTTTGGATTTTCAAATTAGTGATGCTCAACCTGTAGTTTTCAAGCTGTTTTGCAAACAATAGCTTTTCAAAAGAAAGCTTATATGCAAACACAAGATGCAGAACTAAACTCAAGAGCAGCTCTGGTGCAGTCTGAGAGCCATGCTTTCCCTTAGCCCTTCCTTCCCCTGCTACCTCTCAGAAAAGTGTATTATTACCCAGAGATACGTTACAGATATTCTGAGCAAGATCATGAGCTCATGTTTGAGGTGGCTTTTACTGAAGCATTTGTAATTTTGTGCCCATAAGGAATCTTTGGCCACACTACACCATTTTTAAAAAGTGACTTTCTTTAAATTTTTGCAACAAAGTCATAGCCTTAGCTGTGTCAAATTCTTTGAAATAGACCAGTTGGATCTGAAATTAACATAGAGAATTCTATTAATAACACCAATCACCTATACAAAACTTACTATTTTCAGATCTACTGAAATTACGCAGATATGTTGAATACACTCAGAGACAAACTTGATGTGGATAAGAACAATGGTTATGATATTTATTGCCTTTAGGCCCTTTTCACATAGCAGTTTTACCTTTGAAGTACATGTTCTTAAGAAGTTAAATACTACCACTCAGTATAATTACTCACTGTCACAGAAAATGATTATATTTGAAATCATGTCCGAAGATAACAAACAGACTGCTTCCCTCCTAATAATCACGTTACAAATTTGGATCTGTTTTTCAGAGGTACTAAGCTTGGCAAGATTTCCAAATTTTGGAAATTTATTCATTATCAAATTTATTTCTATTACTACCTTAGTTTTCTTTATTCTACGCTGTGTTTTCATGGCAGGTTTTATATTTCTTCCAAATGACAACTTTGTTTTATTTCTTCAGTTTTTAAATAAATGTTAAGTAATTCCCTGTGCTGCTTGGGAAAATTAGAAATTTTTACATTTCTAATGTCAGTTTTGGTTTGTCTCTGTATATTTGTGTGAATATACAAAACAAGAAGGAAGAGGAGGGTATTAGTCTAAGCCATCCTAGTGATGGAGAACTCTAGTCCCCAAAAGACTTCAGAGCATAGGAATAAGAAAGGAAGAAAGAGTATGGACATCTTGAGAAGAGGCAGTTGTGGGAAAAAAGTGGCAGAATCCATATATCTTTCTGCCTTTTCTGTTGAAGATAGATAAGTACTTTTTAATTCTTTTTAACAATTATATTACTTCTTACATAGTTCTTTTTTTTTTTCCTCAAAGGTTCATATCCTACAAGTATTTTAAATTTAATGTGTTAATGAAAAATTTCTAGCAATCTTTTTGGTTTTTGTTAAAATTATCTTTATATTGTTTTTGTAACATATTATCATGGTAGGAATGGGGGAGAAAAGAGATATAAAGCGACAACTAAATCTCTCTCCTCAGCTTCACTTCTTCATTCTCTAGTTCAGTAGTTCCCAACTGGGAGTGAGTTTTTCCCCCAGGGAACATTTGGATGCCTGGAGACATTTTCGGTTGTCACAACTAGGGGAACAGCACTGATGAGGTCAGAAATGCTGCTAAATACTCTATAGTGCTCAGAACAGCTCCTACAACAAAGAATTATCTGAACCATCTTCAGCAGTGCTAAGGTTGAGATACATTGCTCTAGTTCTAATCCACAGAAATAAAATGGTTTCTATAGAACCTTCCAGAAATCTCCCTCCTACCTACATACATATATATACACACACTGTATATATTTATATATACATATATGTATATAGAATATATACATATGTGTATAGAGAATATATACATATATATTTTGAGACGGAGTCTTGCTCTACGCACCCAGGGTGGAGTGCAGTGGCACCATCTTGGCCCATTGCAACCTCCGCCTCCCGGGCTCAAGCAGTTCTGCCTCAGCATTCCGAGTAGCTAGGATTACAGGGACGCACTACCACACCCAGCTAATTTTTATGTTTTAGTAGAAACAGAGTTTCACCCTGTTGGCCAGGCTGGTCTCGAATTCCTGACCTCAGGTGATCCACCCATCTTGGCCTCCCAAAGTGCTGGGATTATAGGCATGAGCCACCGCGCGCAACCGTATATTTAAAACACAAAATAGATGATCTTTGTTTTGTAACTTCCTTGTATTATTTAATATTTCCTGAACAACTTTTCGTGTTAAAACATGAAAACCTACCTAATTCTGTTAAATGACTACTTACTGTTTCGTTATATAGATGTGCCAAACTTTATCCAGTTGCTAATAATGGAAATGTGTATTGTTTACCAGTTTATGTTTATTTAACATCTTTGTACATGTATTTCTGTGTACTTGTGGAAGTTGACTTGTAGATTAATTCTTAAGGATGAATTGGTGTATGCACATTTTAAATGTGAATAGATGTTACCAAATATCATACCAAAAAAACCCATTGTACCAGTTTTTTTGTTTTTTGTGTTTTTGAGACCGAGTCTCGCTCTGTCGCCCAGGATGGAGTGCAGTGGCACCATCTCCGCTCACTGCAAGCTCCGCCTCCCGAGTTCACGCCATTCTCCTGCCTCAGCCTCCGGAGTAGCTGGGACTACAGACTCCCGCCACCGCGGCCGGCTAATTTTTTTTAAATACATTTTTAGTAGAGACGGGGTTTCACCGTGTTAGCCAGGATGGTCTCGATCTCCTGACCCCGCGATGTGCCCGCCTCGGCCTCCTAAAGTGCTGGGATAACAGGCATGAGCCACCACGCCCGGCCGATTGTACCAGTTTTTACTCTCATTGATAAATGTATGAAAAAGCTTCCATTTTCATTTTTAGATCATTGTATGGAGTGTATTTAGAAAAGCATTCTAAGATAAGAAATAAGGCTGGGCGCGGTGGCTTAACGCCTGTAATCCCAGCACTTTGGGAGGCTGAGGTGGGCGGATCACGAGGTCAGAAGATCGAGATCATCCTGACTAAGGGTAAAACCCTGTCTCTACTAAAAATACAAAATATTAATCAGGCTTGGTGGCGGATGTCTGTAGTCCCAGCTACTCGGGAGGCTGAGGCAGGAGAATGGCGTGAACCCGGGAGGCGGAGCTTGCAGCGAGCTGAGATTGCGCCACTGCACTCCAACCTGGGCCATAGAAAGAGGGAGACTCCGTCTCCAAAAAAAAAAAAAAAAAATAGTTCGAGACCAGCCTGGCCAACATGGTGAAACCCCATCACTACTAAAAATACAAAAGTTATGGGCATGGTGGCGTGTGCCTATAATCCCAGATACTCAGGAGGCTGAGGCAGGAGAATTGCTTGAACCCGGGAGTGGGTAGTTGCAGCGAGCCAAGATCGCACCACTGCAAGATCGCACCACTGCAGGTCTCAAAAAGAAAAAAAAAAAAAGGTAAGAAATGAAACACAGAAGTTTGTTAACAATGTCAGTTGAAGCTTGGTAGTAGACGAATTAGACTTATTTTGAAGGCTGGATAGGCATTCAAATTAAAAATACAAAGAAAGCAAAAAAGAGAGAAACTCTTTTCTCTTTCACGTTCATTCACCAACTTCATCTTATCTTGAATCTCCTAACGAACTTTTCTTAGTACGTAATTCTTTAAAAGTAGTAACTAGAAACACAAGAATAATTCTTATATTCTTGAAAGATTTAATGCTTATAAATACTGTCTTCTTTATTCTTTACTAATCCTGCCATCCCTATTTATAGGTGAAAAAAATGGAAACATGGAGATTTTTTGTGACTTATCTAAAATAACACATGTAAATTTCAGAACTGGCACTCAGACTCTTAACCCAGTGTTCCACAGCTGCCTTCTTAGCACTAACTTTTTAATTAACTCATTTAATTTTCTTTTCTTTTTATTTTTACAGGTTTAGAGGTTACAAGTGCAGTTTTGTTAAATGCATGTATTGTGTAGTGGTAAAATTTGGGCTTTTAGTGTCGCTATCATCTGAATAGCTTATACTGTCTTTATAAGTTTACAGGTAACTAAATCAAAACTAACCATACCACTACATTTAAAAAAAAGAAAAAAAAAGACTAGCGATAATTGAATGAATGAAATCTGCAAACTTATTTGCAAACCTGAAATTATTACCACTATTTGTATAATTCTGAGTGCTTTTGCATTTTGTTTTTGCTACAAAAATTAGGGTAGTTGTTTATTGGGGACTTTTGATTACTTTGTTTTTATTATTTTGCGAGGTTTTTTTTTTTTTAAATCAGTTGGAAAAAATGAGAGATGTGGAGACAAGTATATCACATTTTATTTGTAATAATTTGCCTTTGATTTTTTAGCACTATTCCAACCTTCTAAATTTCACTTCTTGTGATAAAGACAAATTTTTGCTCCTTAAATTCAATTTAGTAGAAATCTTTTAGCATTAAGGCCAAAGTTATTTCAGGAGTGTTAGAAAAATATTTCTTGCAAATATATTGTAAGTTACGATGTATCTCTGTTAGTCTGTCGGACACTATACAGAAGTACAGAGGTAGAAATCAAAAAAAGATGATGAAGACTGACAATTATAT